TGCATAAACACATTTTCACAACACATATAAACAAGCACATAATTAAAAATGAAATTATTCACTCAAAACATATAGGCATAAAAACATAATAAATAACTATATATTCATTAACAAAAATATTCAAAACTTGATCCTAGCATGGCATTTTTCTAGTAGAGTAGCCATTCCGTCGATGAGGACTTGTGAATTGTGAAGCGGCGTAGAAAATGGAGTCGCTATCTAGCTAATTAGGGAGAAAACCCTAAACATATATATATATATATTTGAGTGAATTTGTTACGCATGGGATAAAATAGTAGAGTAATTCAAGATTTAGATCAATCCGAGGCCAATATCCATACTCAAAAAGGATAAAGTGGGTATGAATGAAATTGTCGCTAACATCCGGGTGACTATAAACCTATATTAGTAAAAAAAAAAACGAGTCTTTTGGGATTACGAACCCATATTAACATAATCAGAAAACTATCGATAACTTTGTTTACATAAAGAGAAAGCCACTTAACAATTTCGTTCGAACAAGTAAAGAGATGGGAGGTCATCGATGACGTTGTCCGCACAATTAAGAAGCCACTAATAAGAAAAACAAAATCATTCAAACAAAACGAAATGAAAATGGTGAGTCCCTTGTGACTATCACATAATAAAAAAATTCAACAAAATAAAAATGATGAGTCTCTTATGACTCAAGCCGGAATAGAAATTATTTGAAAGAATAAAAGTGGCGAGTCTCTTATGACCCAAGCCCATAACGAAATCATTTGACGAATAAAAGTAACAAGTATCTTGTGACTCAAGCCTAGAACAAAAATTATTTGACAAAATAAAAGTGACAAATCACTTGTGACTCAAGCCTATAACCGAAATTATTTGACCAAATAAAAATGATGAGTCTCTTATGACTCAAGCCCATAGTAGAAATCATTTAACAAAATAAAAATGGTAAGCCTTTTGTGACTCAAGCCTATAATAGAAATTTTTGAAAAAAAATAAAAAATGGTGAATCTCCTGTGACCTAAGCCCATAAAAGAAATCATCAATATGAAAATGCCAAGTCCATTATGATTACGACCCATAACGAGTTGTTCTATCGGAATAAAAATGGTGAGTCTCTTATGACTCAAGCCCATAAAATAAATCATTTGAAAAAAAAAAAGATTTAGAAGTCAAAATGGACTTCGACCATGTAGGTAATCGAGAAGAATTAGGAAATCCTAAACAAACTACTTAATATAGATATCCGGGTAAGAGGTCGGTTACGTATAGGAAAGATATAATATCATTATCATCCCATCCTACGTAAGGTGAGCTATATTGAATGTATACAAAAAAAAAAAAAAAAAATTGGTTTATGCTATGTTATGTTTCTATGTCTATTTGAGTAAATTTGTTCCATATGGTATGGAATGGCGGAGTAATTCATAATTTAGATTGGTCCAAGGCCAATACCCATAATCAAAAGAAAAAAGGTGGCGGGAATGGAATTTTAGCTAATATCCAAGTGATTACAAACCTATATTGGTAAAAAAGTGAGTTTCTTGGGATTACGAGCCCATATTGGCATAATCAAGAAATCATGGGTAACTTCGTTTACATGAATAGGAAGTCTCTTAACAATTTTGGTTCAAACAAGTAAAGAGATGGGGGTCATCAATGACTTCATCCATACAAGTGGAACGCCATCAATAAAAAAAACATTTAAATAAAATAAAATAAAAATGGTGAGTCCCTTGCCACTCCATACCATAACATAAAAGATTTAACAAAATAAAAATAGGGAGTTTCTTATGACGCCAACCCATAACATAAATCATTTGAAAGAATAAAAGTGGTAAGACTCTTGTGACTCAAACCCATAAAATAAATTATTTGATAAAATAAAAATGATAAGTCTCTTATGACGTAAGTTCTTAACGAAATTATTTGACGGAATAAAAATGGTGAGTCTCTTATGAATTAAGCCCAAAAAAGAAATCATTTGACAAAATAAAAGTGATGAGTCTCTCATGATTCAAGCTTATAATAGAAATAATTTGATAGAATAAAAATGACGAGTCTCTTATGATTCAAGCCTATAACAAAAACCATTTCACAACATAAAAGTGGCAAGTCCGTCATGACTTAAGCTCATAATAGAATGTTCTAATAGAATAAAAATGATGAGTCTCTTATGATTCAAGCCTATAACAAAAACCATTTCACAACATAAAAGTGGCAAGTCCGTCATGACTTAAGCTCATAATAGAATGTTCTAATAGAATAAAAATGATGAGTCTCTCATAACTCAAGTCTATAAAAAAATTATTGAATTGAAAATGGCAAGTCTCTTGAACTATGGCCTATAATAAAGGTGTTCTATCGAATGAAATTACAAATCTCTTGTGACTCTAGCTCATAAAATAAATCATTTGAAAAGAAAAAGATTTGAAAGCCACAAACAACTTCAACCATATAGGTGGGAAAGCTGCATTTAGCTTTATTTTGATGAGTCGAACAATTGGATAACATGCATTAGATATAAATATTACACATTTGGCACATCACATACAATCATACCAAATCAACCACATCACAATACAAGCACAAGCATCATATTCAAATACAAACATTGGGACCTCGCATTTATCTCGGATCCACCATTGAAATTAAATCCCAATCTCGATCCTCCTTACTCTATCGTAGAACATAAATCACCAACCTTATTTTATCTCAAAATTCTCAACTTCTCCGATCCTTTCTAGTTCGATCACAATGGTGTATCTAATCACAATTCAAGCAATTTTACAGTTCAAAATAAAATAGTATAATCGGTAATATCATTTGGGTACGTATTTCAAATTTTACCAAAAATAAGTTGAGAAGTGCTTGAAACTATCCAAAAATTTCGTTTAGGTTCACTTCTACTCTATTCCTCCCTAATGAAAATTAGATGTTCGGTTAGTTAGAAAAGGAGAGCATCTACCTATTGAAGCATCAACAGTGCTATTGTAAAATTATCAAAATGTCCCCGGTTAGTTATGAAATAACCAAAATACCTCTATACATAAAATTAGCAAAGCTGGACCTACGCGTGCACTACAAGCCCCGTCACTATCCAACCGTCATTGGTAGTTACTCCAACCACCTTCGGGTGAGTGGAGTGGCCCACAAGGTGGAGGAGGACTTTCTCTATCTTTGTATAGTGATGGCTGCCGTTGTTGTCGACTAAAAAGAGAGATAAGCGATAATGAAGTTTTAGCTAAGTTTCCCTTATTTCTTGTTGTCAATTCGGCCATAACAAAGCACGAGGAGGACACCAATTCGCTCAAAAGACTATAGGGTATGTTTCTACGATGGTTAAGAGGTCCAAATTGGTTGAAAATGGCTAATTGGAATAGATCGTGTGAAACGAGTAGGGAAAACTTCTCTTCCTCAATTTGGTCATTTTTTATGAGATTTCGTCATGAATTCGAGGGAACAGATCTTAGGAGGATGAGGGACACTTCTATCGTTGGTGGGGGTTATTGGTTTGGCAAGAAAACGATGATCTTTGCGGGTTCAACATCAAATTGAGTTGTCGACCTTCTTTCTCATTTTTTTACCACCACCAGCCTTCTTCCTTCTCTTTAATTGGTCGAGAATAGTTGATTTGGGGCTGAGCTACCAATTGGTGGTAGTAATCGAAAGCAATATCGGTAGGAGGATGATCGATTTGGGAGAGGAATATTCGTAGGTCGGGCCATAGGTATCCAATCGGCTATCTTTTCTTTCCTCCTTTTTAGTCATTTTTTGTCATTTTTTATGAGATTTCATTGTGAATTCAAAGGGAACATATCTTAGGAGAATGAGGGACACTACATCTATGGTGGGGGTTGTTGGTTTGGCAAGAAAACGATGATCTTTGCGGGTTCAACATCGAATCGAGTTGTCAACCTTTTCTCTTATTTTTTGACCACCACCAGCTTTTCCTTCTCTTTAATTGGTCGGGAATAGTTGATTTGGGGCTGAGCTACCAATTGGTGGTAGTAATCGGAAGCAATATCGGTTGGAGGATGATCGATTTAGGAGAGGAATATTCGCGAGGTCGGGCCATGGGTATTCGATCGGCTCTCTCTTCTTTCTCCTTTTTAGGGGTTGTTTGGCTTTTTTAGGTTTCTAGGGTTTTCTTTCTTTTTTAGGTTGCATCACAAACCTCTTAAAATGAGAGAGCAAATGTGTATTTATAGGAAAACAAATTAGGATTTTGGGTAGATATTAATTTTGGTCTCCGGTTCCTTCGTATTTGTCAATTTTGATGTCGTTTTGCTTGTTTGAATTTCAATGACATTCTTTAATTGTAATTAATCAGGACTTTAAAAAAAATTCCCAATTATACCTTTACTTAACTTTAATTAGATTTTCTTTTGGTGTTAATTTCTTACATCTTTTTAATAAGATCCCCAAATCATTTTTGCTCATTTATTTATTTTTTTTCTTTTCCTTTCTTCTCTCTCTCTCTCTAATTTTTTTATATATTTTCTTCTGACTCATAAATTTAGACAAAGTAATTAGGTAAAAATTAGGTGCTAACTCTTAAGTATTTTGGATTTTGAACACATAACTTTGGAAAAATAAACAAAAACTAATTCTTTTTTTTTTTTTTTTATCATCACCAACCCATTTTCAGTTTTTTCTCTTACATTAATTACTGATTGTAACATTCTGGGATCAATTTTACTCTACCTTCATCTTCATTTTAAATAACCCATCCACATAAATAGTTTTCAACTCATGGGGCATGGCCACCGTCTGAAAGCAACCGAGATGGTAATGTGGGAATAAACCAACTTACTGCGGAAGCCCAGCCTCAAAAGGTACGGCCAATATTCTTTGATGATAACAGTTGCAGTAGTAGCGGCAACATTATATCCCAACTTATTATTCTAAGCATCTAAAATTTTCTCCCAATCCTCGTTGCAAATAGCACTTCATCTTCACCTGTGAAAACTAGCAAAAATAACAGTGTCCTTGGGTGTGTGAAAATGGCGTTCTCTCTTAATGCAAACCTCAATCAGCCTTCTCTCAGGTTCTCTCTTTCTATGCCTACATAAATATACTAAGTCTGTAGCTACTTTTATCCAATTTAATGTTAATTCAGCTATTGAATTTTTCAGTTGTGGAACCAAACTTTATTCAGGATTGAAGCTTCAATGTCCAAGTTTGCTCCTCTCCTTCACTTTCTGCTCTTTAATTTAAAACTCATTTGTCCTTTTTTTATTTTATTTTTTTTCATATTCTCTTTCGTTATTTCTTCGTTTGGTCTCTTTTTTTTAGGTCTGTATGCAACTGGGAGACCTAATTTAACTGCAGAGTTCTATAGCAAGGTTAATAAGAGCCTTCAATGCGGGTAACTAATTTTTAGATTATTTTTCAATGACATGATTAGGTGATAATAATATTAGCCTGTGAATAGAGTTTGGAGTTTTTTGATACTTTGTAAGTGTTTGTGTTAGTGGTTATTGAATTGGAAATAAATAACACTGATTTGGAGATTCAAGGAAAGATAAAGGAGTAAATTTGACGGACAACACTCTAATTTTTGTTTATCGGTGGGATTACTAAGCTTGGATTATGAGCTAGGAATCAATTTAAAATCATTTGAAATTATTGAATTTCAACTTGATTTCTTTAGTCATAGGAAACAGTGAATTTCTGATCGAGACATAGTGTAAAAGCATTCATCATGTCATGTTTCTATCCATATTGTATATAGCTGAAGTTTTGAGTTAATTTGCTATATTTGTGTTGGTATATAAATACAGACTGAATGTTTGTTTGTCCTTTTAAATGTTCATAACGTGAAGTTCATTCATGGTTGATATTCATCTTTGTGCAACATTTTGTTTTGGTCTATATATTTTATGGATGATACATTTCTCTGTTTGCAGGACTCGTAATCATAAATCAACACAGGCAGCAGTTAAAATGATGCCTATAGGGACACCCAAGGTGCCTTATAGAACTCCTGGGGAGGGAACCTGGCAATGGGTTGATATATGGAATGCCCTAGTAAGTAGAGCACTATAGGAACCCTGTAGCTTATATATATATATATATATATATATGGGTGTTAAAACTGACCAAATTCATTGGCTGCAGTACCGAGAGCGTATTCTTTTCATTGGACAAAATATAGATGAAGAGTTTAGCAACCAAATATTGGCCACAATGTTATACCTTGACACAATTGATGATTCGAAAAGGATGTATTTGTACATCAATGGTCCTGGTGGAGATGTAAGTCCTTTGCCTAGCAATTCTTCCTCATAAAAATATGAAGTATCCCCTCATTTGTATTCTTATTGCCTCTATTATTGTGCTCTTTTGCTGAAATGCTTCTTATTTGCAGCTTACTCCAAGCTTGGCCATCTATGACACTATGCAGAGCTTGAAGAGTCCTGTTGGTACCCACTGTGTGGGATTTGCCTATAACCTTGCAGGCTTTCTTCTTGCAGCTGGGGAAAAGGTAATATTTTCGCTATTGGAATCTGTGTTGATGAAAATTTTCCCACCAGTGCCTAGTGATGCATTGGTATTGATTTTGGGGGACCATCTCATAAAGGCATCTCAAAAAAAAAAAAAAAGAAAAAAAAAACTTAAGGCCTCGTAGGGATTTGGGAAATTTTTTGCACTTAAGTGTTTTGGGGGTGTTAGAGGCCAAGGCCACACCTAAATTCACCCCTGCTAGTACCCGTCTGGTCAATTGTGAAGTCAAGACAGCTTAAATGTGGTATAGTTTGGGTGAGTGACTCCCATAACTTATGAATTTGCAAGGTTCAATGAAAGTTGACAGGCAGTGAATATCTTTATTGTCCACTCCAAATTTAAGCTTTGCCATATGTTTGTATATTAAGCTTTGCCATATGTTTGTATATTATTGTTCTATGAAAAGACCTGATCAAATATGTTTAGGGTTTACCCAATCAGGGCTATTAAGCTATGCCCCTTCAATTATACTCTTACTATTCAGCAGCTTCATGGCATTCTGATGGTGTACTTTGTTTGTTTGATTTTTTTGCTGTATTAAAGGGAAATCGCTCTGCAATGCCTCTTTCAAGAATTGCTCTACAATCCCCAGCTGGGGCTGCTCGGGGTCAGGTATGAGTGTCATCTCTAATCAAAATATGTTCTAGATATTATCTGTATGTAATTCATTGTACATGTTCGGGATGATATGATATATGTGATGTTTTTCTCACAGGCTGATGACATTCGTAATGAAGCAAATGAGCTTCTTAGAATCAGGGACTATCTTTACAATGAGTTATCTAAGAAAACAGGACAGCCTTTTGAAAAGGTTAGTTTTTGATTTCCTAGTCTTGTGTTGGTTGATTCGTTCTGTGAACTCAATTTATTGTTGTTAGATATTTTATTGCCCATAACCTAGATCGAACTCTTTTGATTTCCAGGATCTCACTTTGAAATACTAGCTGAACAAAGATGTTGATATGAATTTCCCCTCTTTAAAGTTTATTGTGATACTTTTTGCACTATATAATGTGGCACATATTAATCTTCTCATCTTACTGAACTTGCATTTTTGGGATACTTTTTACTGTGTTACATGGTTTGATTTGCATGGAAACATGTTTACTGCTGAATGCAGATTAACAAAGACTTGAGCAGAATGAAGCGCTTTGAAGCCCAAGATGCCCTTGAGTATGGTCTCATTGATCGCATAATCAGGCCACCCCGAATAGATGCTGATGTAGGTCCTAGTGATGCATCAACAGGTCTTGGTTAGTGTATATGATGGTTGGTATTGATTGATGGGCGTTATAAATCACCAAATTTTTCTGTCTGCTTGTACAACTAGCTATTTATTCGGAATTTGTTTGAATTTGCTAGTTCCTTAGTCAGATCTTTTTAAGGCATAAGAATGTCCAAAATGGTTATCTAGGTAAAATGTTTGCATCGGCATATATATCCTACCGGGCCCCATCATATTATGGAGGTAGAGGTCTGATGGATTTGATTTGTAGTTCTACTTACTTTATTTTCAGTTCTCTCAAAATCAATTTCTAAAAAGCATCTTCAGCCAAAGAAAATGTATGCATATTGCATGATGAGGAATGCCTGTCTCTCTCTCTCCTTCTGGTTATTACTAAATGTATATTTGGCATGCTTGCTTTGGCGTGCGTATTATTGTCATGGCATTCAGGAGTTGAGGTCAAAATGCAGTTGGAAGTATTCAATCCAGATCAGGTTTCTTGTGGCTTAGAATCTTTACCTTGAGAGTTCCGTGAACTAAGTGTAATAAAAGTACTTTGCCCTCTACAAGTAAGGATTCTTGAAGCCAGTTGAGTTGTAGACTGTCGTTTGTTTCGTTTGACTAGGTCGTTGACACATCGTCAAGCAATTTGGAAAAATCTCCCCTCGATGTTTGCTTTATTATTATTTTCTTTTATGTTGGGGAATTAGCTTAATGTATCTTTATATTTTAGGTATAGTCTACAATCTATTCCAACTAGTTTAATTGTTTTCAATTTGTTTTTATATTTTAGTTCGTTTTTCAATATTCTAGTAGATATTTTTATATAAACTAACAAAATACCCTTATATGAAAAATTCAAATCTAACCCAATTTATTAAAACACACACACACACACACACATATATATAGATATATCAAGGAAAAGAAGAAGAGAACTTTAACATCATATGACAATTTGTTTTTCTTAAAAATTTATTTTTTTTAATAAATTAGTTGGGATTTTGAATTCTCAAATGAGTATGTTTTTATCAGTTTGCAAGGAACTATATACTGTAAGGATAGATTAGAGAATAAATTAAAATATAACTTGTAGGGGTAGGTTCAAGACTAGATCTAAAATACAAGGATATGTAGAGTTAATTCTCTTTTATTTTATTTTTTTATTTTTTTGTTTTTTTGAAATTTCCCTGCAAACTGTTGAAAACAAAAAATAAATAATCTCTTGATATGGTTGATGATGGCATCGAGGATCCTCTGATGTTGTTTGTCTTACACCTTCAGAAAGAAATTAAACTTTGAAAGGCGGTCAGAAAAATGGTTTTTTTTGTGAATGTATTAGTCTGGATCTAGATGCTCTATGCTTAAGATTATATTGGAGAGATCTAATCTTGATACTTGAAAACTAGTCCGAGAAAACTCTTTAACGTTAGGATCCAGGGGAAAAAAAAGACTATAAGGCTGATTGGTGAATATTATAGTACTTTAAAGTACCACCATATAGTGATAATAACATTAAAATTTTGTTTTCTTTTCCTTCAGTTTCAACTGAAGCCTGGTTTACAGTCTCACACTTGAATGGGGAATGGGGAAGTGAGATTAGTAAGTTCCAAACAAGACTTAAAGAAGGTTTTGTGTGCCTTGGTTGAAAGTATTATGAATTCAGGACATTCTTGAAGTGGATTCTGCCCGATGATTAAGTTATGTTTTGGATTACTATTCTCGGTGGCATGTTATGATGCTATTAGATCGTTCTTCTTCGCTTCGCCTGCGTCATTTTGGACGACAACACAAATCGGAAGAAATTATGAGGGTATTAATTAATTACCTTCACCCTTATTTATGCATGCCATATTTGATTGTCTTCCTAATAATAGACACATCAATAAAGCAAAAGACCAAAGAGAGTACAAAAAGGAAACTTGACGAAAGGAACCCCCAGCAAAAATTTGGGTTCTGGGAGTGAAAAAAGAAATCTACTGTATGTATTCACAAATGCTTCAGATAGCTATTTCAATACCTGTTTAAACAATCCACAACTGATTACGAAGATGATTACTTATTGGTCCCTTAACATTTCTTCCCTCCATCCTTTATTAACCTTTGCAATGAAATCTTCAATTCTCTTCTCCAAATTTTCATCAAATTCTCCATCAACATCTTGCCAACCAATCTCACCAGCACTCGCATCAGAACAACTGTGTTTCTCATCATCATTGTCTTTGCCATTGGCATTTTCTTGGGCCTTCTCATTGTTGTGATTCTCACCCTCAATATTAACATATGTGTCTCCAGCAACTTCACATGAAGATTCAGCATTCTCACCCTTGATCTTAACGCATGCATCTTCACCATCTTCACTTGAAGACAGTAAACATGACCAGTGTCCATCAAGTTCGTCTTTGGATGGCTTATAACTCCAAAAAATGAAAAAAATTAAGAAGTTGAACACCAAATACAAAAAGACTGCAGATGAAGAGTTCACAGCCACAGCAGCAACTAAACAAAGAGTTAAGAATAGAGGTATTGGTAAAGCAACAAGCTTCATTTCCTAGTAAAAAAAAAAAAAAAGACGATACAGCTAACCAAATAAAAATCAGTGCATGCTAAGCTGTTGATGCCATGTTTTTCTAAAATAATTTGCAGTGGTGCTTCAATTATATAGTTGCACGAGGTTTTAAATGAGGCCAATGAGTGAAATTCTCAGAAATTGCTTTAGGGTATATAATAATTAATTGAACAGAAGTTTAGGCCAATTATGTCAAGTAACATAAATTTTCAAGCATAAGATAGAAACTTCTGCAGAGCTTCTTAGATTACGGCTTGTATGCTAGCCACGCACCGTGTTCTCATGACATCAATCTAACACAGATTCCAGTTTACGCCGACGCACCAACAAGCTAAACGTGGATAGATGAAGCTTGTAAATCCAGTTAAATAAAAATCTCATCTCCTGATGATTTATACTATTATTTTACTTCTTGATCTTAATATACTCTATAGGGGCTATTCAAGTTTCTTTGATTCGGATTTCAAACTTCATACACGAGACTCAATGGACAAGAGCTAAAGCTGGCCAACATGCTTGTACTAGGTTCAGGTTCAGGTCCAGCAGCAAGGCCCCGGTGATTTCCCTTTTTCTCCTTTTTCATTGGTGGACTTTTAAGGAAATTTCGTAGAACAAATTTCCCCTACAACCTTTTCAAGATAGCGACTGTCGGCATCTATTGACAAAACATCCTTTAGATTTGACGTTAACACGAAAGTTTTTTTTTTTTTTTCTCTTCTTTTCAATCATGATATTTTGGAATGGGCTTGCACATTAATTAAGATTGGATTTTTTTTTTTTAAATAATTTTAAAAGTACACTCTTCACATAAATCCTATATATTCAGTAAAATAAATTTCTGTAGATACCAACTTTAAAATTCAAACTCAGAAAAAGAAGAAAAATTAGACCTCCCAGCCTCCTGCTTGGTTAACACAAAGCATGATAGGCATTAAAGGAAAAGAAAAATAAAAAGAAAAAAGGCATTTTCTTCAAAACAACCGTTTGTCCCAGCTACGCTCACCTAGGTCAACTGTCGTAAACGAGTGTTATTACAGGGAATTTAGAACTCAAGTTCTTTGCATCTGAAATGTTCGATCTCATTGACCTTCTGATGTTGATAGGAGCTGACTTGAGCAGTAGCGTGTCCTTCCTGAACACCTTCTTGCAGTTTTGCGAACAGAAGGGAGAGAAGATAAAAAGAAGAGTTTTAACCACCCAAGTGAAAGTGACTCCGTTTTTCATTTTCTCAATCATTACCAACTTCTATGCCTATTGTTCATATATTGGTTCAGAAATGTACACTCAAAATTTTGAACTGTTGCCAAAAAACACTGAACCGATAACATATGGGTCAGAAAAAAAAAAATCAGTCAAAGCAGAATCAGTAAAAGAATAAATACTTCTTTAACACGGTTGAAAATGATATTACAATTATTTCTGAGAAGTTCCAATATTGCTTCTGGTAAAGCAACATTAAGAACCTTTAAAAGGAGTCAAGATGAAAAGTTAGAAATAACAACATTTTCCAATTCAGAGTCCATGAATCCAAAGAAAGGCAACTCTAGGGGGGTAAATATTACATCAGCTATTCTACAAGACACAACAGAAACAGAAGCCTACGTATCCAGCTAAACTAAAATTCTACCTGAAAAAGAAAATAGGTAAAATCAACAAACCAGTACGATAAATATTTGATAAGATTACAGATAAAACAAAACATGAAGGTGAGATTCTACGATTGGAGGTTGAATGCCATTGTCGTCAGTGACAAACATTTTTATGCACCAATGAGGTGAACCCTATTACCCAGCTGGCAAAGTTACATTAATATCAGCCGGCTTATTCCTTGAATCAGGAGGCAAAGAAGACCAACTATCTCCACGAAATGAGGCAGATGAGAAGTTGGATTTAGGATCAGCACTAGAAATAGGAATGGCTGCAGTCGGCATGACACCTGATAATGAATCATGCTTCTGTTTCTTTGGCTTCTGTTCATGCTGGTTCCCAGCCAGAAAACTGCCTACCACAACCTAATCAATTAACAAGAAAAGAGAGGCAAAAAGAGGAAAAAAAAAAAAAAAATCAAAGTCTGTCTAGAAAACCATCTAAGACAATCATTGTTTCTGACACGGGTTTAGCACCAGAGTTTATAGTGCAATGGGATTGGGGAGAAAGAGATGAAAACAGTGAAATTTGACAAGCCAAACCTGCACGGGACTTGCAGCTACCAGCAGACCGGCAACTCCACCACCTACAACTCGTCCATCTGGACTTGCTAATGAAACGCTCATCCCACCAGATCTGCTTCTTGTTCCTCCAGTTTCGGTGGGCATAAAAGAACCAGACAAAGACAATATCTCGAAGCGGCCCTGGAAGAAAAATCACGGGGAAAAGATTGAAATCAGCCAATAATAAATTGATACTAGAAATCACAAAGTACAAGCAACATGAGGTGGCAGGATGAGATAGTTAACCAACGGTCCTAAAGTGCTATTTCATATCCAGTATTGAATTAGTAAGGAAAAGCAGTTTACTAGTTTATAGGGCACCAGTAAGAGGAGCAAAATAGAAAAAGATCCAATATACAAATGCTTGACTGCAGGACCAAGTTAATGTCTACTTTTGACGAAATTCAAAATGTTTAAAATAAAGACCTTTGTTTTAGATGAATAGCAAGCACCACAAACCAAATATAAAAAGCAGGAGAAGAGAAGCAATTTTAAACAAGAATGAAAAGAATACAAGAAATGAAATGGCCAACCATTGTTCCTTTTCCATTTATAAAGAGTTGAACACCTAATGTAGAATTTCAGTGACTGAACTTTTGAACAGAAGTGCCACTTTATGCCAAAGACTGACCATTGTTTCAAAGAACTTAAAGCTGTGTCTCCAAACACCCATCCATGCATATTGGATTTTGAGAAAAAATGAGCAAGGTTGCAAATGGTAATTTGAATGAAAAACCCAAATGAAAGTTTTTCAAAGTGAACATATTTTACATGTATACACCAAAGGCATGCACTGATATTGTGGACTACATATTCCAATGTGCAGATGAAAAGTGATGGAGCCCTGATATGCTCAATGAGAGAGAGAGAGAGTAATTTGAGATTTATGTAAACACCACAGGAAATGAAATGAATTGGGTTGACCTTAGGCATATCCATGGGAGATGTAAACCACGTGGCACAAATCAGAACCAAGCATAAAGGAAACGAGATAATTCATTATAGCTTAACTAGAAGACAAAATCAAAGCACGAGGAAGGACAAAATGCATCACCTCATATGTTAATGTACCCCCTGAAGAATCAGGCTGACGAAGTGTAACACTAGATATCACACCATTGGCTGAGAGGATGCATATAGCTCGAGGCCCTTGTTGAGAAAATGATATGATCTTCATCGTGACATCCTAAACAACCAAATGATAATTCTATTTACATAAGTCAACAGACAGCTCTTAAAACCTAGGAAAGCATATACTTCAATATCAGACGTTGTGACAAAAAATGATTTTGCAACTTCTGGGCTAATTCACCAAGTATCAGGGAATCTTACATGAAGCAAAGTTTTTAATCCAACTTTTTCTGACTTATCTATTTTGGAAATATATGACAACTCCTGATCAGCGTTCACGTTGTTCAAAATCCCAACCACATTTTTCAAACACAAAATTCATATTATGTTTGCATTTATACTTAAAAAAAAAAAAAAAATACAATGCCAATACAGGATATATATATATATATATATATATAAACACTGGTTCCGTTCAATATATACCTCGCCTGCATTGACTGTGATGATATGGGGAGTAAAATTAGCACCTACAGAGCATGCAACCCATTCACCTAGAAGAGCAAATCACCACAGCATCAGTAACCAAGGCATGGAAATTCATTCCGCAACAGATTCTCAATTCATAAACTTCACGCAACATAAATGTACATCAAAGGTAATAGGAAAAATTAATGCAAAAAATTTCAGAAATTTAAAATCCAGAATTCTTGCTTTGAAAAGAAAGCAGGCAAAAAATCATATTCAGGGTGGCCTCTTGGGCAACAGGAGATGCTATTGATGTGGAATAGAATACATGAAACCTTATGGTGGCATGGGCAAAGAAAAACAGCTCGCATTGCCTTCTAAGAGAGCATTGCCAATAAAAATGTGGCATGCCTGCAGCCCATCAAGAACTTACAAATTGGATGAGCAAAAGAAAGTCCCATGAATCAATGGCTGGTATGACTTGAGCACCAGTATATATATTTGGGGACTCTTCAATCTCCAGGCAGAAGTTCTCTGCAACAGTAGTTAAAGGCTCCTCAACCTGTAGGGCATGGGTGTATGTAACTAACTCAAACAACCAAGGGAAAACTTCGAAGCATCTGTAAGTACAAAATCTCCCTAGTTAAGAGAAGGGCTTAAGGATATAGTGTCTCATGACCCATTTTCTAGATAATTATGTAAAGCTATTATGGTGTTTCAAGCAAATGCAACAATCCTTCAAGTGGTGCGTACAAAACCAACGGATCATGTAAGCCTCTAGATTACTCATAGGTGGGAATCTCAACTTTATGTATCAGAAACACTGCAACCTGAAAACACGAAGAAGATAGGATAGGCAGAAATAGAAGCACCGTTGCTATTGGGGTAGCAAGATAATCATAAGAGCTTAGGCTGCCTAGTAGAGGTGGTCTGAAGAGTTCAAGCTCATGGATTTTGTCTGTGGAATAATCAAACCCTATGTACATTGAGGAGGAATTATATAAAACGAGTACAGTAATTTCAAGCAACCCCTTTTCACTTGATAATATTCAATTTTTCAGCAAACCATGAAGAAATCAAGTGACTTTGACTAAAATACACTGCCAGTGGCTTGTTCAAAACTGACGGCACTGCCTCTGCTGCAATTTGCCAAAAGTTATAAATAATGCAGCACCAATGAAGCTGGTTAGATAGCTAAATGGAGGAGGAAAAACAATTACTTCCATCTTCTTTCTCTTTCATCTAATCTAGAAAACTTAATTTCAGAAAGCAACCAAGTTGCCCAAGTCAACCAGAGATGGAATAGATAAGAAGCAAAACTCACAACTCTGTAACTAGATTGTGCATGCTATGACATTTACTAGTCCCAGTTGATATGTATCAAGCAGCTATATGGATATTAGAAAACTTGAGAACTGCTTGGGGGAAAAGGCCAACTTCAACAAGTGAGAAGCAGTCCACCATGATAAAAGAGGGCAAGTTTGGCAACTAAGACAGGTCAAACCGATAGGTCCAGATACTCTTGCATCCAGACCCACTTGGCAGGAAATAATCACACAACATAAGAAACAAGAATCTACAAACTAACCTCAAAACCATCCAGAATACACAACGTCGTAAACACAACCAACCATAATTATCATCAAAACATGGAAACCAAAAAACTCCCTCCTTTCTTTTGGAAGCAAATCGATGAAATCTCTCTCTATTCCAATTCTGTTAACCATAACACAGCAACAAACTTTTATCGGTCTTTTAGCAGGTACCCAACAACAGTATCTTCCACAAAATTCTCTTCTCCGAAAAAGGGAACACAAGTGCCAAAATAACACCCTCATAACAACAAGATTCCCTCGTTACCATACCAACTCACATACCCTAACTCTCTTTCTAAACCCACCACATACACACAAACACACATATCAAGATCTCAACTGAAGCATCATTTCACAGGTCCCACGTTCACCAAAAAAAAAAAAAAAAAAATCACCCAACTTTCTCTTACATTGAAACAGACAACACAAAAAACTAAAGATATAAAAATCGAAGATCCAAACTTTGAACCTAATACAAGCACAAAAACCACTTAAGCTCAAAAAGGCATCTCTAAAAATGTCAAATTTCTTAGCAAGATTCAAACTTTAACCACAAAACAAGCACAAAAACCACTTTAGCTCAAAGGAAATCCATGAAATTGACAAATTTATCCATTCCTTACCTAAATTCTGCAGCTCATACTTGGCCTTGCTCACTGGCTTTATTTTCTTTTGTTTCTCAGCTGAGAAATCAATCACCGGAGGCGACAGCGCCGGAGCCGCCGACGAAATCGGCTTCGGAGACAAGGCCATGGTTACACTCCCGTCCGGACCATACTTTCTAGGCCTCCCTCTCTTCTTCTTCACTAGCATAGTCGCCGCCGCAGACGGCGGATGCGGAGGTGGAGCTTGCGGCGGAGCAGGGGGCGCGGATCCAGGTGTTGAATTCGGGTTGTGGTCGGACCTAGGAGCGATTTGGTAATCTGAAGGAGCATCGGATCCCACCACTGTAACCCCACCACCACCACTAGTACTACTCACAGTTGTTTCCATGCTTAAACCCTTTAAAAGATTTTTTTTTTTTCGAAAATTAATGTTTTGGACAAGTTTTCCGAAAAACCTATTTTGATTTTGAGCTTAAATCATCTCAAAATATTAAAAGGTTTCGATTTTTCTTGAAAAATAAACCTAAAAAATTCAAACCTTTTAAGAGAAAAGGAAAAAAAAAAAAAAAAAAGCTCCAAAATTCAAAATCCAGAAAGGAACAAAAAATGAAAGAAAAGCCTAGTATTAGCTAGAAGAAAGAGCTTTATACAGGGACAATTTAATCTTGACGAAAGAAAGGAAAAAAAAAAACCTTGAGCATTTTTTATCTTAATTTTTGAGATTAGATAGCTCAAGTTAAGCAGAAACAGAACTTAACTAGGATTTTAAGGGAGGGAAAAAAAGGCAAAAAGGAAAAGAAAAATTGTGTTTTAAATTTTCATTTTTATGGAGTAAAGAGAGTGATGAGAGGAGAAAGAAAGATTGGATTTAAGCTGTGAAAGTGAATTTTGATTTTTGAATTAGTGGGGTGGTTTGAATTGGAAAATGGTTTTTTTTCTCTGTGTGTGATAAAAAATAATAGAAAAAGTTTGTTTTGTTTTTTAGTTTGTTGTTGAACTAATTTAGTTCCTAACTTTCCTAAGTCTGTCCGAAATGGGATTTAAAAAACAATAATAAAAATATCAAATTGGAAATATTTAATAATAAAAAAGTTTGCATTGATGAATATATGTGCGTGTAATGATTATTGTAGATTTGTATTTTATGTTAGATGATAAAGAGATTGATGTTTTAGTTGGAATCTGGTGGAAAAATAAATAAATTAAATAAAGTGGAGAGGGAGGGGTTTTCTTTTCTCTTTCTCTATCTTTTTCTCTCTCTTTTTTTTTCTTTTCTTTTCTTTATTAAATTTGTGATAGGGAAAGTGACGAAAGATGATATAATTGTCATCATTTAAATTACAGTTTTCTTTTTCTTTTGTTTAATTTTTGAGTGAATGGCAAGTAAAATTAAGTTGTCCAGGAAAGAAAAAAAAATGTCTAGAAAAGGGGAAAAGGATAGCGGTTTAAGGCAAGCATGTCCTTTTTTTATGGGGCCTGATAAGCTTTTATCTGTTACAAGCAAAACCCACAAATAAATGAAGGTATCCAGTGCTGGTTTAATATATATATATATATATAATCCCTTATGCATTTCATATTTCTATTTTTTTCCTATTAAGTTTCAAATTCTGGTTCTATTGGAAACACGAATTAATAAAGAAAGAAGTTAGAAAGCAAAAAAACAAAAAAACAAAAAAAACAAAAAACAAAAAAAAAACAAAACAAAAGTAGAGCGAAATGGATTTCATTCCTCTTACTCTTTTGTATTCTTCCCTTGTGATGCAGTGGTGAAAAAAGATTGATGATGAAAGCTGTTTCTTCTCGTGGTTTTGATATGTAATGAACTGAAGTTCATCAGGAGTAATGGCATTAGTAAAATTATAAGTCAATTGTTTATTTGTGTCTTTTCTATTTATTTAATGACCAAATATATAGTATATTTGTACAACTATTTTCTTTTCATTGAAATTAAATATTATCTTTTCTATCCAAAGAAATCCGAAAAAAATGATTTATATAGTATAATGTAGGATGATTTTATTTTCACTTTATAAATTGTTAATCTCACTCTACATTAATTACAAGTTTTATTAATAGATTACATTATCCTTAACTTCAGTATAATTATAAATGATCTTGCTTATTTTGATAGACTCAAATTTTATACAAATATTATTTCCTAATTACTAAATTCAAAATTAACTTAAATAAAAAAAGAATTATATAAAAAAAGGTAATAGGTAAAATTGAAATATCCTAATTGCAAAAATGAAGACTTTTTATTAATTATATTTCCTAGATAAAATTATAATATTGTCATTAGTGAAAAATATAAGTAATTAAGAGTATTTTGGTTTATGTAAAATCATAGTGGCACAGAAGAGACCATCTCATCCTCTTGACCATGAATCCATCCATCTCTTCTTGATTTTTCATACCAGTACGTAGGTTTATTGGTTTACAGAATCGCATTACTTAATCCCCTTTTTTTTCTTTTCTTTTTTCTTTTTCTTTGTTTAGGAAATTTATCCAACTCTTTACCTACAGTGCGATGTTACCATGCCCCTTTTTTATGTTTTTCGGACGCAGGAGGGGTTTTTCCTTAGTTGGACAAGGTGAAATCAAATTTCTGTCCCTCCGCATGCGTTAATCTGTTAATATTACCAGATTTGTATGGTACTTTCATAAAATAGATTAGTCTCTCTAGTTTTTCAAACGAATTAAATAGTTTTTTTTAAATATATATATATAATTAATCTCTTAATCAGTATTGATTATAAATAATTTAATATTATTTTGTTTCAAAAATTGTATTCTTTTCTTATAACTTTCTATATATTTTTTTACTTATTTTTCTTTTTATATTTATTAAAACAAAAAATATAAAAAATTAAGTTATATAAAATATAAAAATTAATTAATCAAGTATTAAACATAGAGGAATTATTTAATTCCATTCAAAAAATAGAGGAACTAATTCATGATTTACTCTACTTTCATGTACAAATTTAAAAAAAAAAAAAAAAAAAAAAAGGCAGAGCTGCATGCATCCTTCTGTCGCCTTCTCACAAAAATTTGTAGCTTAGGTGAATTTATTGCTCCCATTATTTCATTCCCTTGCCAAACATCTATTGTTTTTTTTAAAATGTTTAGTAATATTTGGAAAATATATTATAAAGATAGGAAAAGTGGAAGTGATCACGTACAGCTCATAAATTTAGTATAATCCTCTTTCATGGGACCACAACATTTGACCTTTTCTTAAAATGCTATTAACGACGACAGCTTTAATATTCACAAACAAAACTAAAAAAAGGCATTTTTTTTTCTGAACTAGGGTTAGACTATTAGTTGCCAAAAACAAGAAAAATAAATAAACTAACTTTTGATAAGAACCAATTAATTATTAAATTGCTTGAGCATTAATTTGAATAAATATGGTGATAACCTCGATGTAAGTATATCATGTTAACTTCCACAACTTTCTTTTATTTTATTTTATTTTTTTTCAAATTTCTTTTTGCATGCCATGTATATTAATATTTTAATTATTGGTCGGTAATCAGACCTAACTTTGGCATTAATTTAAGTAATGGGATAGAGAAAACTTGAATTAACAATTAAAAAAATCTTTAAATTTCATATAAAGAAATTACCACTTGAAGTTAGTGGCGCTCATATTGGACGTCCATGTCAAAAAAAAAAAAAAAAAAAAGGAATCTCAAGGAGATGAAGCATAGATTAATCTCTTTTTCATAAAAGAAAATATATATATATATATATATATATATATATATATATATATATTTGGCTTTCTGTACTTGATAAATATAAACAAGAATTGTTATTGTCTTAATTAGTTGCCGGCTCTCCATTTAATGGTGGGTTATCGGCTTGACAAAATCACTACTTTTTTAATATATATATATATATATATATATTCACTGGCAATAGTTAACTTAAATATAACCTAATTACACTGACATTTTTGCCATGCTAATTTAAACAAGCTTGCGTTTCGGAAGTGTAGTCAATACAAGTTGAAAAATCAGTCAAATGAATTGTTGCTATCTAGGTTAGATCTTGATGAAAATTTGTTTTGACTCTAGTTCAATAAATGGAGAAAGAGGGAGATTCAGTGTTTTTTTCCCCCCTTTTGCTGAAGGGTCAAAAATTACATGTCCATCAGGGTTTTGTAGGATATTAGTGCATTGATCAAGTCCACCCCAAGACTCCTACCATGCTCTAGTCCATGAGCATGATTTGGTACCTCATCCGGTGAGCATGATTCATGGTGGTAGAGGTCTCCATCCAAAGCTTTTTAGTACTTCATCCATATCCGAGTTTAATTCTTAAGAGACCCCATAAATTTTGCAATTTATTTATTTTGAACAGATCATTTTCTTTGTAAGGCTCGGGAAGAACACGATAGCATTTATTTATCAACTTTTCTTTCATCAACACAGCGAAAATAATTTCAGCTTTTCACATTAAGTACACACCTTTGACCTCAAAATGCTTTCCAGAGAGAAGGCAACTTGTCTCCCAAAATAGCGTCCAGGAAAAAGGTTGTGTTGCAGTTAAGAAAGAAAATTTAATTCTGCGATGAGATTATTACATACTGGAGTATCACCAAATTTACACCATCTAAACCCAACGCATTCTACATCCAACAATAACTCTTTTAACTCCAAATTTAATCCTGCAATGAGGTTATTATATATTTTATAAGACTTCCTGTTTAAAGCTCAAACCAACAATAATACTATAAGATTTTAATTTACAGCTAGTTCACTCTAAGAAAACCCAAAACAACTACCTCCAACAAATTAGAATTTATGTTTAAGATTCCATAAATCACCTTATAAACACCATATTTTTTAGGAGTTTTGCTCGGATTGAAACTAAAAAATCAACATTAACAACTCGGGATTTTTTTGTAAGAATTTTAAAACACAGCTAAAAAACCTTAAAAAGTCATTTTTTTTTTTTTAGAGATTTTATTTGGAACCATCAATAACATCATAAATCAATTTCAAACAAGAAAAATCAACATTAAGCAATTAGTGTTTTTTTATATATATAATTTTTCAGAAAATAAAATAACACAATTTAAAAAACCTTAAAAACACAAATTTGTTTTTAGATATTAATCCAAATATTTTTTGCATTACTGCCTTTTTTTGTTTAAAACATTCCAACATTGGGTTAACATTTCACATATTTATGTTCACCTTCCATTCTTTTCAAATCAACTTTCAACAATCATATCAACCTTCAATCAACTGGATATGACAGAAAATGATATTTTTAACCAAGTGTAATTTATATTTTTCAACTATCACAATTGTCATAATTTTTTTTTTACTTTATTGTTGTTTAAAATAATTTATTATTATTGTTATT